GGTCTTTAAAATTGTCAAGGAGTTGGATGGGATAGATATAGAGAAGATGTTTCTGTTTTGGACTCATAAAATCTTAGAACATTTTTGGCACTGAATGAGTACGCTTGGCCCATCATGTCTGCAGCAGCCAAGAAATGACCCACAAAACCCAATCCCATTTTCCAGTATTTGGAGAGAATTCAGAAGAAACTTCTTTCTCTCTTTTTTTTCTGAAGAAGGGTCCAGACCCGAAACGTCAGCTTTCCTGCTCCTCTGATGCTGCCTGGCCCGCTGTGTTCATCCAGCTCTACACCTTGTTATCTCTTTCTCTAAGAAGTGGTGAGAATGTGGAATTTTTGTTCACAAAGTGTAATTTGAAGTACTTTATCTAGTTACATTTAAGAAAAGCTAGATATTTTTAACAGAAAAGTAGTAGAACTATATTGTGTTATAGTGAGGTGAATGGGAGGACAGCAAAACAGAAATTGCAGGAAAATCTCGGCAGGTCTGGCAGCATCTTTGGAGAGAAATCGGAGATACTGTTTCAGGTCCAGTGACCCTTCCTCAGAAGTCTGAATGGGAGGAGGTTCAGGTGAAGCATAAAATGGCTATTTATCAGTTTGGTTGAGTGGCCATTTTTTATGATATCAATCCAACAGGTCTCATCCTTGACATGAGGTTTTAATATCATTTAATACTGAAAGATACAAGTCACACAGTCTGCAATGATTACAATTTTATCAACTATTTCATAATTCATTTTTCCTCAAACTTATTGCTCATTTATTTGTATAAAATGTAGGTCTTTATATTTATTATTTAAGCCCCTCTAATTTTTTTCTCATTTACACAATATTACAAAATATTCTTTCTGTATCTTACTTTTTGTTCCGTCTCTCTTTCCTTCCTTTCTTTCGCCTTTTTTCCTTTTTTATCTTTTCTACTTTCCTCTTTTCCTTTTCTCTTGATGGTATGTTCACAGTTTCCACAAGATTAGAGCTAGAACTGAGCTGCAAATCCCCAATCCCCAAGGCTCAGGTGGAAATCCTGATTTCAGTTCTGAAGGAGATTTCAAGGGTGCAGTTTTCGGATTTTTTTTCTCTTAAGTGTGAGACTAGTGTTTTTGGTGACGGTTTTCAGAGGCCACATGCTTTCCCCTGGGAGATTGCACCCTTGCCCCCTATCCTTGCCTTTTGATTTCCATTGATTTGGAGCAATTCGATAACACCCCATCCCCTACCAATTCAGCAGGTGGGTGCCACCTTTCTCACCCACCAGGGAGGCTGGTAATCGGGAGGTGGCAAGTTGAGGTTATTAAGTGGCTGTTAACTGACCACTTAAGGGCCTTAATTGTTGGTTCATGGACTTTCGTACCAAGTACTTAATTGCTGAGGTGGCAAGAGAAGCGGTGAAAGGGGAAATAATTGAGTGAGTTTGCCCTGAAGAGGAATTCACTTCCCTTGCTACATCCAGGGAGGGAAAATTGCGTCCCAAGTCTTTGACCTCTACAGAGTCCTTCTGACAATTAATTTGAAGCTTTTCTTGTCAATTCTTGATTTGCTTTGTTCAAAACCTATGGCAGGATTTTCATGGCCCAAACGATAACTCCAGTCTGACGACTGCTAACTGATACATCAGACAGTTACTTGAGGCTGGAATCGAACCTGGGTCCCTAGCACTGTGAAGCAACAGTGCCCACCTCTGAGCCACCGCTGTTTTACACAAAGGACTAAGCAAGGAATTGCTGGGTTTTTTTTTTGAAGAAGAAAAGTTGCAGAAACTCACAGTGGGTTATGTTTGTATTGTTGTTTTGCAAGCAGTGGGGGAAGGTGTGAGAGGAGACAGCACAGTACTGAGGTATGCCGACAAAGTGAGATTCAGCTGGCAACAGGTTGCTGATTGATTTGTGCATGTCTGACCAGCTGTGGATGCTAAAGGCCATCAGCTTGATGCCAACTTTTTCTTTTCTGTGTAGCTGAGCAATACAGTGGAAACCCTTTGTACTCTGGAAGGGGAGGTGGTATGAATGTCTCCCCAGCTAAATACCACAAACTACTAAAAACCACAATTTCTCCCACTAGTTGCTGTAAGCTGTTGCTTTTAATCAATAAGTTTTCAGTTAATTTAACTTTATAATTTGTGAACCACTTTCTGTCTACCTCCTGTGACAAAGCGAAAGAACCCAAAAGAAATCTGAAAAAGTTGATTTCTTTTTCTTTATATTCATTGACGTGATGAGGGTGCCATTGGCTAGGCCAGCATTTATTGACCATCCTAATTACTCAGGTGGCAATCAAGAGTCAATCATATTGTTGTGGGTCTGGAGTCACATGTAGGCCAAACCAGGTAAGGATGGCTGTTTCCTTCCCTAAAGGCACTTAGTGAAGCAGTTGGGCTTTTCTAGACAATTGACAATGGATTCATTGTCATTGTTAGATTCTTAATTCCAAATCTTTATAGAATTCAAATTCCACCATCTGCCGTTGCAGGATTCGAACCTGGGTTTCTGGATAATAGTCTAGCAATAATGCCACTAGGCCATCACTACCGCTCTAATTGGTATTACTAAACTGTTTCCCAGTATCTGTTTTCCTCTGTCTCTATAACATTTTTTTTTGTCTATGTCTGTCTACATGTGTGTATGTGTGGGTGGGGTATTTGAAGGAGGTTCGTTTTAACAAGTAGAATTATATGTTGACCGTTCATAGTTGTTTACCTGTGTTTAAGATCTATTTGTTAAATCCAGAAATCTGCTGCATGTTTCCTGTTACCTGAGTCTATGAGACAGGTAAACTTGGGGACCTTGTATACTTCAATAATTTTTTTTACTTTTTGGGACCACTCTGGGAATAGTGTGCTGACTCAATGGCTCCTCAATGAGGTAAAACCCGCTACAGAAAAACAAGGAAAAAAACAGATTTTCCTTCAGTAATGGGTTTTCTGAAGCAAAAGCACTTTAACCAATAGGTTATTTTTGAGGACAATAGGTTAAAGTGTAGAATGTAGGTTGGGACAAGTGTGGCCGGTATCCTGGAGTGTGTTGTGAGATCATGTTGTTGGGTGTCTAAGAAGGCAGTCCAACAGTGAGCTGCAGTTGCTCGACACCTGCTCAGACTTTCTCGTTCAGAATTCTCAGCATCTAGTTTGCTCTTGGAGGGTGGTAGGACAGGACACTGCATAAGATGAGATGTGTAGTTAATGAGGCTGACAATAAACAATAATCCTCCTTAGTAAGCATCTTGCTGTGGCCTAGTGAGAATCTCCTCTCAATGGCTAGAATTCTGTTGGAAAATGCAGCTAGTTGCTCCTGACGTCAAGGTAGGCCTTGCGTGACTACTCATGCAGCATGTCATTCAGGGCCGTCTAAGATTCTGCCCATTGCATTCGTAAATGACATATGTAAGCATTCAAAGTTCATCTTCAAGATCTCCAACATTCCAAAAGACGATCTTTTATGCTCCTCTAAGATCTTGGTGTAATACAACTTATTGTACTCTTTCCTCAGCACTGATTAACAGGGTTGCTACTCTTAATTGTTCAGGTTTGTTATCAATTTTGTCACAATCACATAATTTTACCATTGTAACTGGAAGAATTTTCAACTCAGTCCCTTTCATTTCAGGAGCAGATACTGAAATTTTGAAAGGCATGATGAGTTGCCCAGCATTGACACCGCAGAGTGATGTTCTATTCTTGTATACTACAGTATATTATAGTAATGAAAATCCACACAATCCCACTTGCACACTTCTTAATGCCATGTTCCATGTAGTGTGCAAAGTGAGTACTGCCCTAAATCCTTACAAAACATGATATCAAAGGTCATATCAGTATGGCAAGCTACAATGTATAATGGTATTTCTTCAAACACAACCTATTTAATCATACTAGAGACATCGAGAGTCAGGCTGTGAAATAAGAACACTTTCACAGGGATTTCAAATACTTGGTTCTTTTCAAATATTCTTGTGAATTATTGACATTTGTGTTTATTAGAAATCTGAAGTGCTGTCTGGATGTTGCAGAAGCGATTCGCCATCATTTGTGCATCAATGAATACTTTATATCTGACCTTGTTACTGTTAAAGCACTGATCAAAACTCTGGATTCAAAGCTTTGATACTATCAAAAAGCCATTTAAAAATGAAATGTGTTAACTTTGGTTTCAAAGCCACTGATCTCCTTATTCAAACAAACTAAAGAACTTATATTTCTATACTGTTACTGTGCAAGTAAATGTGATAGTCATCTTTCACTACTTTCAATATTGATTGTTAAGGATGTTTGACTGTATAGTGAAGTGTTTGAAAATATATTATCTGAATATGTTCTTAGACCCAGTGTCTTGAAGATCATATAATATATTTTCCATTGAGATATTGAACTCTGATTATGATGTAGAATTCAGAAAATATATTAGAGCATATCGAGTATTTTGCTTTTGCACTAGTTCAGGTGAGGTCATAGTACCTGCTTTGCAGGATTTGCAGAGTAATATTGATGTAGCTTTCTAGATTGGTTTAGAAAAACAAGAAAACAATTCCACTTCTAAAACATCTTTCTTGATCATAGGGAAACTCGGAAGTGTTTTGCAGGCAATACTTTTTTAAGTGTAATTACTGTTCTAATTAGGTAAGGATGGCAACTAATTTACATACTGAATGTTGCACAAGAAACAGCATGATGAATGAGTAAATAATCTGTTTTAAATGCTAGCTAAGGGATAAATATTGATCAGGACATGAGAGAGAGCTGCCTTTTTCAAACACTGCTGAAGGATTCTTTACATTGACCTGAGCATGCAGTTGGTGCCATGACTTAATGTCTAATTCAAAAGACAGAAATGCAACTTGATACTCTACTCTTTTGCTACTTAAGGTTTTGTTTAAAGAATATGTAACCAAACAAAATCATGCCACAATAATTGGATTAAAGAGGCTCCTCTGCTTTTCTAGCTACTTTTTCGTTGCTATTCAAGAGGCAAATTAAATTCTCATGCAAATGTTTTTCTTGTCTTACAGAAAAAGAGCAGAGAAGAGACTTCTGGAGAAGGGAGTGGTGTGGAAATCCTTGAGAACCGGCCGTATAATGATGGTCCAGGTGGTTCTGGACAGTACACCCGCAAAGTATACCATATTGGTATGCACATCCCCAGCTGGTTCAGGTCTATTTTACCAAAAGCTGCATTGCGTGTTGAAGAAGAGTCCTGGAATGCTTACCCCTATACCAGAACAAGGTACATGTTCACAGATGCAGCCGCTTTGCTAGAATAATGTTGCTAAATAAATACTGTATTCTTTATAGTTTAAGTATCTTGGACTCCTTTAACATCAGAATATGTGAAAGAGCTATTCAAAACAATGTGGTTTGCTAGGATTTGTGGTGTTTCAAGGTGAACTTTTTTGAGTGGAGATGAGGCGATAAACTCAGGGCTATATCTTTAGATCTGCCAATACCAGATTGGAGGCAGGCGTTCACTAAAAGTAGCACCACCTGTCTTTGTGCCAACTCTCCCACTTCATCCCAGCCTTAAGCCATTTTCGCAGAAGTGGAATGGCAGTGCAGAGAATCAATTTAAGGGGACTAACTGGAATAATTTTTTTTTTTACCTTCAGTTTACTGTAGGTAGCAAGTATCAGTTTAACTGCCTTTAGGTTTTATGTGTTTATCTTGCCTTGAAGAAAGTTCACTCCATGTGCTGTGTTTATGTGATGTATATACTCTGCCTGACAGTCTGCTATATGCTGTAAGCTGCACGCACACACAGAAATCAGTTGGTTTGCTATAATTCCTGCTTCATAATTTCTTAAATGTATAACTGTTTTCAATGAACTAACCCACAGAGTGAATCGTTCCCTGACAAGAGATTGATTATTAGACTATTATTATCAATGTGACATAGGTGGCCTCCTGGTCGACCTGGGGGCCAGTACTCCTTGCACACATAGAAGCACTCCTTGCCTGCCTGAGTTCAGCAGCGTCTATAGGCTGCATTCAGTAGAGCAACAATCGCAAAGCTCCAACCATGCTAACCTGGCTGATAATGCTAATGAAACAGAATGACTGTTTACAGTGTCAGCACTGACATTCATAAGAAATGGCAGAAATCTCTTTTCTGCCTGGCCTTTTATTTTTGTTATTTTCTGGTCCTGAGAGCAGATACTTACAGCAGGAAGATAAAACCACTGTGTAAAAACCAAATATCATTTCAGGAAAAATCCTTCTGCTTGTGCCCAGTGTGGTTTATCCTGCAATTACACTGTAGCTATCTGTCTGAAACTCCGGGTCTGTCCAGACCAGGCAGATTATTTTTGTAACATCCAGTCATGACTGTTGGTGTATTCATAGGTTTGTTCTCTCTGTCCCCTCCTGCCATTCTCTGACCTTCATTTCCTGTATTATTATTTTGCTCTGTTGTTTTGACTTACCCTTTGAATTGCTATTTCTATCTCAGGCTTGATCCTTCATCCAATTGTTTAGTTTAAAGCCCCCTCTACTTCCCTAGTGTATGGTTTGCTGGGACACTGGTCCCAGCTCACTTAAGGTGCAAACCATTCCAGTACCCACATTCCCCAGTAAGGTTTCCTGTGTCTCAAGAACTGGAACCCACATTTTTTTGTCACTAATCTTTGAGTCACATGTTTGTTTTACTATTCTTATGTGTCCTCAGCCAATTGGCACATAACTGACCTGCTCAACCTTTCCTGAGATGACAATCCCCTACACTGGGACTGAGTGGAAATCCTGAACTTGCACTTACCAAAAGCCAGACTGGGGAAGTTTTCTCCAGGAAGTCTCCTCCGAGTGAGCCACTTCTGGGCTCCCCTGCAAATGGTATGCTGATTCTCAGTGGCATTTGGCTTAATCACAGGACTGGCACTTCTAGAGCCTCTCCAGCCCCTTTGAGAGAGAAGGGTGCTGCTGAGATTGATAGTGAAGCACCCCAAAGTTAAAACTACTTAAATTTTGAGAAAGCCCCCTGAGATAAATTGTTGGGGCAGTAGGGCACTGGCTATTTCTGTCAACATGTCTGTGCCATCTCTCCAAGAGAAACATAGCTAGTTCAGTTCCTCAGCCCTTTTCTTACGGTCCTCCAAATATTAACAGTTTTGAACGATTCTGCTTCTACCATATTCTCAGACGTTGCATTTCAGATCATAATCGCTCATTTCATTAAAATGTTTTTCTCATGTTGCTCTTGGTTCTTTTGCCATTCACCTCATATTAGCTTTCTCTGATTCGTGATCCTTCTACTAAAGGGAGTAGTTTCTCTCCAGCTACTCTCTCTAGATTCTTCTTGGTTTTTAATCCCTTCAACATACCTCCTCTCAATCTTCTCATTTCTAAAGACAGTTATTCAGGCAACTCTAATCTTTCCACATAACTGAAGCCCCTCATCATTAGAACTTGTTGGCCGTGGATCAATGTGAAATGTTCTGTCTTTCTTGAGTTGAAACGGCTGGTTTGTTGTAATGACACCACAATATATTTTAAAGCTTTTTGCTGGATTTCTTGCCAGCAAATAGCATGCGCTGCTGGTTGTACTTCTGCATGAGGTGGTATGCAAGTTCTCAACGTGATGTAGCAGCCCTCACTGCTTGGCCTTATTACTCTAAATTGGTTAATTATCCAGATATGGCGAACTGTAGGATGTTATTGTGATGGATTGTAATATGGTGATGTGAAATGTAAGCAACACTGAGGGTAAGGTAATATTTATTGTCAATCTTTAATAATTATTCTTGATAACGTTTTTCATTATACTGCAACCATCATTTACTCTTTTATTTATAATGAATCTGACAGTACACTGCAACAAACTGCATTTTCCATTACTCTAAATCCTCATCTACAGAACTAATTTTATGCCTGCAGTCATAACCTTATTCAAGAAAGACATTTATCCAAACACAATTAGTTGCAGTTACTATAATATTAATCTAGCATATCTGTCTCTCTGGCAATATTGAAATTTGCTGTATGTTATCTCTGTTTATCATCTGAGATTGCAATGTAATGATGGAGTAAGCTGATTTATAACTTGTAAACTACGCATATTGTTAGCAAAAGATTTGAATATTTTTATTAGAAAGAAGTTTTATAAAAGCCTGAAAGCCTTAATGTTCTAGTTGAGAGCACTATCCACTGGACAACCTGGATTTGGAAACAAGAAACACTGCACAGGAGCCCATTTGTCCAACTGTGACTGTGCCAACTCTTTGCTATACCAGTTCAAAAATTTAGCCTGCTGCCCTGCCGTCTCTCAAATGCCCTTTATCTCCTGTTATTTAAAATATTTATCCTCTATTCCGCAGAAGTTCCAGTGACCACTGCCTCGCCACTACTGTGGTAAAGTATTCCAATGCCAGCAAGCTGCTGTGTACAGAAATTCCTTCTAACTCTCTGTGATAATTTTAAGTTTGTCATTGACATAAAAAAACAGAATCAAGTCTCTCTTCATTGTATCTCTAACTTCGAAAATCTCTTTTCATATCTATTTTTAATATGTGTTTCAGTGTAAGTTATTGCAGTATCTCAAATCTGTCCTTAACAATGTAACTGTCTTCCTCAAAAGGCAGTGGAGGCAGAGTCTTTGAATCTTTTTCAGGCAGAGGTGAATAGATTTCTGGGTAAGTAAGGGGTTGTAGGTATTGGGGATTGGCAGGAAGGTGCAGTGATCAGATCAGCCACCATTTTATTGAATAACAAAGCAGGCTTGAGGGGCCAAATCCTGCTCCTGATTTCTATCTTTGTTTAAGTTCACATCTTTACCATCACTTTAGTAATCTTTTTTCTGGATGCTCCAGATCTTTAAGATCCTGTCTATAATGGAGTACTCAAAATTGCAAACCATACGTTAACCATAATCTAACCCACATGCTGCAATTAGACTAACGAACTTTTGTTTAAAGTGGTTAACTCTTGGGGCAAGCTATTGGGAATTGTGCCCTCTAGCTGCTTCGTTGGAAACCTTGCTCTTACAGGAATGCTATTTAAGACTTAAAGATAAAGTTTTGTTTTGCAGAAATTATTGTGCATTGTTGTACTACTTTTTTGCAGATATACCTGCCCCTTTGTGGAGAAGTTTTCCATTGACATTGAAACATATTATAAACCTGATTCAGGCGATCAGGCCAACGTATTTAACCTCTCAACTGCTGAAAAAAGACAGAGGATGATTGGTACTGTATTTGTTTTCTGTGACTTTTTTTTAAAAATACGGTTCCGTCATTAAACTTTTGGTTATGGAAAATAATAGAATTAAAGCAAGATGTCAAGCAAAATTTATACAGATATTGTATTATTTTCATTAAATTATTTAATGCAATATACTTATGAAGATCTTCATAATGAGAGGCACATTGCTGAGTAGCTGGATCCCGGTTTGCTAGTTAGGGGCTTGAAACTTCTTCCAGTTGTTCTAGTTGAAGTTTGCTTGTCTTAGGCCAGGCTGCTGGGTTAAGTGCAAAGCTGGGGTGGCACACTACAATTTGAATGAGAAAGAGGATATTACCAATATGCGGTTCCCTACTGTGGGTGTGCATCTTGTTTTCACTGAGTTGCTGTAGATATGAACACATTTATGGCCCAGATTGCCAAACCCGAAGAAGGCTGCGTGCTGTTGAGGAAAGAATTTTCTTAAATGTTTTCTTGAATAAAGATGTTAATACATTTGCATTCACTTTGCATCCCTTTGGAAATTTCTAATTAATGCATTATGAAACTAAAATAAAAGAAAGATTTGCATTTATATAGCACTTTTCGTGAGAATTGGATGTCTTTTAGACCTTTACAGACAATAAAGCACTTTTTGGAATGCTGTCATTGTTGTAATGTAGAAAATGCCATAGCTAATTTTCACAACAGCAAACTCCCACAAACAGCAATGTGAAATTGATCAGATGACCTGTTTCCTGTGATGTTGATTAATAGACAGATATTATCCAGGATAATTCCCTTGCTCTTCAGGATAGTATAATGCATTCCTTACAACCATCTGAGCAGGAGTGTAAGGCTTTGGTTTAATATTTCATCTGAAGAACATCACCTCCAATAATTCAGCGCTCCCTCGGTTACTGTAAGAAGTGTCAACCCGGATATTTGTACTCAAGCTGTGGAGAGTGGCAGTTATTTGAAAGGCACTTTAAATTACTCAGCATTATAAGTAAATTTGAACTGTAACCAAGTATTTTGTTAAAGGATTATTAAACAAAATATAGTACATTCTCATATTCTAAGGTGCTGGAAATGTTTACCACTTTTTCTGCCTTATTCCACCTGAGCAAAAACACATTTTTTTGGCAGTATGGTCTATTTAAAGATTTCTGTCTTTAGCAGAGAAAAGCATTAAATGTTGCACATGTACCCTCTAAGTTGAATATAGCACTTTAAATATCTAAATACACTAATAGTAAATAAAATAGCTGCTAACATAAAATAAATTTAAAAGTATGGAAGAAAAATGCAACATTCTGCTTATAACTACCTACTGTAGTGGACCCTCCAAGATTAGAATCAGAGTGGGCCTTTGCTAAATAGGCTTCAGATCACCTGCTGTGGCCATCTCTTGTTCCTGGCCACTTCCTGCTGCTGCTGTTATGAAGGTCTATGGTGCTCCTTCTCACTGGCTGTTGTCACCTCTAGGGTCCACTCAGACTGCTACTTGGAGGGGCTGCAGCTCTTGGCCTTCCTCTCAATTGCCAGTGGTGTATTGTTTACAGCTGATCCTTCTGGCACCACCACCACACCCGCCTCTTCCCCCCCCCCCCCCCCCCCCCAAACCTTCTCTCTCTCTCTCTGTGATAATAACCAATGCTGCTGGGGTACCTGTGGCAGGTTGTAGCTCCCGGTTGGTGGGGCATCTGCTGGATTCTGCCAGGGTGGAGTGTGGAAGGTGATGACCCACTGGTCTGGGTAGAGCTTGACAATTCCTCTATGTTAATTTGACCGCTTGGTTCCATTCACCGTGCTGCACTTTTAGCCATGGCCACCACCCATGGAGGCCAGGAAAGGAATGGGGGCTGCCAAGCTCCATCAGATGGCTCAGCCTTGTCTGGCTGAGTCCAGAGGGCAGTAGTAGTCAGCCTGCCCTGTTGAGCGGCAATAACTTAGTGAAGTTAAAGCGCGACAACTCTAAAACAAACGTGGTTAAACATATACTCCCTGTATCCATATTCTCAACTTTTAGTGTTGGTACATACCTAGGGCAAAGTTTCTTACACATAATTATTAATTTATGCATATATTTCATGCATATTGTATCTTTTTGAATGCACCAGCAAAACTAAAGGACTCTTGTGGCACAGTGGTATTGTCCCTAGCTCTGGGCCAGAAATCCTGGGTTCAAGTCCCACCTGCTCCAGAGGTGTGTCATAACATCTGTGAACAGGTTAATTACAAAATGTCAATAGCAACAAAACTCAGCAAGACCTCTGCAAACAAGTATTTGTTTTACAGTAGTGACATATTAGTTTTAAAGATGATTTTGTGTTTGAGCAATTTCTTGATGTAACATTTCATTAACCAGTTGTAACTATTATAAACCAACAGTCTTATCAAAAGTTCATTGTTTGTGTCACTAATGGCACCACTTTAACTTTCAATCCTGTGGAGTATGTGACATTTATGAGGTAAATCCATTAAGATTTACAACGTACAGCATTGTTCAGGTACATTCATGTTTATGTCTGATTAAATCATAGAGATACTTGGACTGAAACTTTGGTTCAGTTCGAAAAGTCTATGAAATTTGAAATGCATCATAACAGAAAGACAACTGCTGTACACCAGAGTTATTAAACTGTACAGCAAGGGGTGAGGTGCCGGATGACTGGAGGGTGGCTAATGTTGTGCCTTTATTTAAGAAAGGTTGCAAGGAGAAGTTTGGGAGCTATAGACCAATGAGTCTAACATCAGTGGTGATCAAATTTGTTTGAGGGGATTCGGAAAGGTAGGATTTATATGCTGGAGGGGATTCTGAGAGATAGGATTTTCATATGTTTGGAGATACAAGGACTGATTAGGGTTAGTCAGCATGGCTTTGTGCATGGGAAGTCATGTCTCACAAACTTGATTGAGTTTTTTTAAGGACGGGATCAAGAAGATAGATGAGGGCAGTGCAGTAGACATTGTCTACATGGACTTTAGTAAAGCCTTTGACAAGGTTCACATGATAAACTGGTTAGTAGAGTTAAATCACGTGGTATTCCAGGTGAACTTGTCAGTTGGATACAAAATTGGTTTGATGGTAGGAGACAGAGGGTGGTGGTGGAGTGTTGTGTCTCGGACTGGATGCCTGTGATCAGTGATGTTCCGCAGAGATTGGTGCTGGGTCTGGTGTTGTTTGTTATTTATATAAACGATTCGGATGAGAATTTAGGAAGCATGGTTAGTAAGTTTGCAGATGACATCAAAATCGATACTGTAGTGGACAGTGATGACAGTTATCGAAGATTACAAAGAGATCTTGATCAATTGGGCCAATGGGCTGAGGAGTGGTAGATGGCGTTTAATTTAGATAAATGTAAGGTGTTGCATTTTGGTAAGACAAACAAGGGCAGGACTTATACAGTTAATGGTTGGGCCTGGGGAGTGTTGTGGAACAGAGAGACCTACGGTTCAGGTACATGGTTATTTGGAAGTTGTGTCAGAGGTAGACAGGGTGGTTAAGGAGGCGTTTTGCACTCTTGCCTTTGTTGCGCAGACCATTGAGTACAGGAGTTGGGATGTCATGTTGCAGTTGTACAGAACTTTGGTGAAGCCACTTTTGGAGTATGTGCGCAATTCTGGTCACCCTGCTATGGGAAAGATTTTATTAAATTGGAGAGGATTCCGAAAAAAATTCCAGGATGTTACTAGGAATGGAAGATTTCAGTTATAAGGACAAGCTGGGACATTTTGTATGAAAAAAACAGAGTTAACGTTTTGGGCCCGGTGACCCTTCCTGAGAACAGTTAACTGTTAAAACGTTAACTCTGTTTTTTCCTTCACAGATGCTGCCAGACCTGCTGAGCTTTTCCAGCAACTTTGTTTCTTTTTCCTGATTTACAGCATCCGTAGTTCTTTCAGTTTTTGCCTGCAGATTGCAGATGAAGGACAAGGGAGAATTTATGCAAGTCTATTTCTTAAATTGCTCTTGTATTAGAAATGATAATTAGCATTGTGTTAATTGGGACTAATTTTCCTTTTCAGGTTTCAGGTTTAAATATTAGTCCCTTCTATGCTGCGTTTGAAGTAAAAATGGCACCTGTGTCTATGTGTTCTAGATCTGATTGATATTGTCAAAGACCCCATTCCACCTAATGAATACAAAACAGAAGAGGACCCTAAATTGTACAAGTCTTTCAAGACAGGAAGGGGGCCTCTATCTGATAACTGGATACATGAATGCAAGAATAAGCCTGGAAAAATGCCAATTATGTGTGCGTACAAACTCTGTAAAGTAGAGTTTCGATACTGGGGAATGCAGTCCAAAATAGAGCGATTCATCCATGATGTGGGTAAGTATGGGTTATTTGCAACTTACACATTTATGTGTTTTTCCATTAAATGCTATCATGAAATTGATTAAATGAATTTAGTGTCTAGTGTTTTCAAGTCTGGCAATGAAAGGTGACAAAATGAGAATTATTTGTACTGGTTACCAACTTGGTACGTAAACAGTAAAAGTCACTTATGAAGAATTTATCACATCAATGTAGACCATTGAACAGACAGGCTTCAAGGTTAAACTTCGCGTTTTAACATTTTGGATGACATATTGCCTGAATGCGCTGCCTAAGGGAATACAGTATATAATTTAGTGGCAAAACTATACGTTGCATGTAAATGGCATCTGCATCCCACTCTCAGAAAGGAACACAGCTAGTTACTTTGAAATTAGTTTGCACGCCACCTTCTTCTTGTTTGTCCTGTTCAGATATTTTCATGCAAATATTAGTTTGCTATGTAAATCCAAACTGGCAAAAACAGTTTATTTTGAGTAATTTTATGGGATTTGCATGCAGTTTGAGTTTTGAACTTGGAAATATGTTCTACTGATTGGAGCTCTAACATACCAGCTTGACCTGAAGACTGCAATTCTTTATGTTGAAGAGGAGCTATGGGTCTGTTTGACTTTAACTTCGACTATTAATAAAATTTGAAGTTCAAGTTAGTGGCATTCGCCCAAAGAACTCCCAGCAATTGGATGAATCATTCTCCAACAAATCTCTATCAAAATCTTTTGTGTTCTTCTTCCCAACGTAGCTTGGTTGTGATGCTCAATCTCTTCGTCACATCCTGCCACATGAGCTGTTATGGGAGCAGAATTCTGTGGAATATGGACATATCCCCTATCTGATTGAACAGATGAGGACATACAGAAACTTGAAGGATGATCTAATTTTTAAAATATTCATTCATGGAGTGTGGACCTCAGCTGGCTTGGCCAGCATTTATTGCCCACTGCTAATTGCCCAGAGGCAGCTGAGAGTCATCATGAATCACATTTAGGCCAAACTAGGCAAGGATGACAGACCTACCTCCCTCAGGGATATGAGTGAACCAGATGGGTTTTTACAGCAATTGGCAGTGGTTATGTAGTGTCCATTAGTCCATTAGTGTCCAGATTATTTTCATTGAATTCAAATTTCATCATCTGCCATGGTGAGATTTCAAACCCTCAGAATATGAACTTCGGGTTCTGGATCAGTAGTGCAGCAACGTTACCATTAGACTTCTGCTTCCCTGAATTGATGTGTTTAAAACAATGAAAATATTTGTAGGGTAAGTAGAGAGAAACTATTTTCTGGAGTGTGGGAAGTCCATAATAAGCAGACAAAAGTTAGAGCAAGGCCAACAGGAACAAAGCCAAAAACACTTCTTTCCACATAATGGTGGTGGAAGTCTGGAACTCTCTTTTGAAAAATTCTTGATAGATCTTTGTTAGGCAAGGGTTTTAAGGATTCCTGGCGTTCTGAAGAGGAGTCATAGTAGACTAAAAACATTAACTCCATTTCTGTTTCCACAGCCCTGCTGAGTTTCTCCAGCATTCTCTGTGTTTGTTTCAGATCTCCAGCATAGCAATGTCATGCCTTTATAATTTTGGAAGCAAGCTCTAGCTATTAATTAACCAGTCCTGAAAGAACAGAAGGAGACAGTGAAGGGATATCATGTGCCAGTGATTTCAATCAGATCATAACTGTGCACTTCCATATTTATTTTGTGCGAATTGAGTGCTGGAGAGCAGAACACTATACATTTCAGGAATCCAATGTCAGCTTTCATTCTACAAGTTTTGATGTAATTAGAGTTAAGATAACCCTCCTTCAATAATATACCCAAGCCCCAATTTCAGAAAAATCTGTTCCCAATGCAGTAAAGTGGCATTTGCCCCCTTTCTAATACCGTCTATCATTGGATGCTTTTAAATAATATGGTATTTGATAAATGAAGCTAGTTGTATGCTCAGGCAGAGGATTACTAGGAACAGATTGGAGCCAACCCAACTTGTGCACCATCAAGAGAAGAGATAAGGACACATTCATGTTTTCACATTCTCGGGATGTCCACACACACACACACGGGCAGTAAAAGTAAAAAACGTTACATAGGCAAAACTGGAAAAAAACTGACAAGATACACAAACACCAACTAGCCACCAAGAGACACGACCGATTCTCACTGGTCTCAATACACAGAGAAAGAAGGACACGAATTCGACTGGGACAACACATCTGTAATAGCTGAAGCCAAAGAGAGACACGCCAGGGAATTCCCAGAGGCCTGGCATTCCAACCGGAACTCAGTCAACAAACACTGAACTGGACCCGATATACCAACCACTAAGAAACAGAACCGGAAGCAATGCCAACCACCCCAGCAAACTGAGGCATATAAATAACAAGCAGGACAGAACACCAACGCTTCACCGAAGGTGCACTGACAGTGTTACCTAGCAGGGTAACAAAACGTCTGCAATCAAATACACCGGCTCAGTAAGCAAGTCTACAACCTCAACCACAACCCAAGCTACAAATCTTCTCAAAAACTGTGTTGTTGAGTTTTTTGAAATAAAGGTAGGGTGTGGATGAATTATGTGTGGATGATGATAGCTTGTCTGTAATTGTATATGTCATTGATATAGGCACTGTGGCGGGATGACTTATAAAATTTTTCACTGTAATTTTCATGTAAAAGTACACATGATAATAAATTTCTGTTCTATTCTATTATCATCAATAAGGTAATAGACTTGTGAACAATAGAATAAATGAAGATAGTTTTATTCATGAACCATCACCTCTTCTGACCATATAATTTGCTGAAGTATTTTTTGTTAGTAATTAGAATTGTCATTATCTATTACATAACAATACAGAAATGGAATGTGCAGTTTTTGGTCAGCCTCATGTCTGTCACTTGTGAAAGATTATTGTATAAACCAAGTTACAGAGAAAACCATGTATGCGGGGTTTTTGTTTGCCTGATGTGGAACTTTACACTTTCCGCAAAAAATCAAAATGAGTTTGTCTTTCTGTTTTATCCAAAGGAGTTTGCACATCAAGTTTTGAATTCCATGTGGTGAAATATAGAACCATAGGGTCATACAGCACAGAAACAGATCCTTTGGTCCAAGCAGTCCATGCCGAACATAATCCCAAACTAAACTACTCCCACCTGCCTGTGCCTAGCCCATATTCCTCCAAACCTTTCTTATTCATATACTTGTCCAAATGTCTTCTAAACATTGTAATTGTGCTCACATCCACCACTTCCTCAGGAGGGTGATTCGCATGTGGAATGAACTTCCTCAGGAAGTGGTGGATGTTGCTACAGTTACAGTGTTTAAAAGACATTTGGATAAGTACATGAAACGGAAATATTTGGAAGGATATGGGCCAGGCACAGGCAGGTGGAACTAGTTTATTTTGGGATTATGGTCAATATGGACGAGTTGGACTGAAGGGTCTGTTTCCGTGCTGTATGACCCTATGACTCTAAGAGACAATAGCTGGGACTTCTCAGCAGTCTGGAATTTAACAAACTGTAAAGTAACAGCATCACCGGTGAAGGCCACTGGTGGGAATCTGCTGTATATCTGGCCTAAACTAGCCATCCATTTGTTAGAGATTCAGTGGAAATCATGTGGAGTAAATTCCTGCCTAATGATATGTCTGTTGTACATGCCTTGGTATACTGCAGTGGAGGTGGTGGCATAGTGTAACGTAGAAAATAAGTGCAGAAGTAGGCCATTTGGCCCTTTTTGAACCTGCTTCATCATTCAATATGATCATGGTTGATCATTCAACTCGATCCCCTGTTCCTGCTTTCTCCCCATAACCTTTAGTCCCTTAGTCCCAAGAACCAAGTCTAACTCCCTGTTAAAAACATTCAATGTCTTGACTTCAACTGCTTTCTGTGGCAGAGAATTCCACAGGCTCACCGCTCTGAGTGAAGAATTTCTTCCTCATCTCATTATTAAATGATATATCCCATATCCTTAGACTGTGATCCTGATTCTTGACTCCCCAGTCATCAGAAATATCCTTCCTGTATTTACTCTGTCTAGTCCTATTAAAATTTAAAGGTTTCTATGAGCCATCCCCTATCTCATTCTTCTAAACTGCAGTGAATATAGTCTTGATCGATCCTGTCTGTCTTCACACGTCAGTGCTGCCATCCTAGGAATTGGTCTGCTAAAACTTAGCTACACTACCCCTTTTCCCCACCAAGACAGAACGTCCTCCTTCAGATAAGGAGAACCCAAAATGTGCACACAGTGCTCCAGGTATGGTCTCACCAATGCCCTGTATGATTACAGCAAGACATGTCTGATCTTGTATTTGAATCTACTTGCTATGAAGGCCAACATGTCATTTGTCGTCTTCACTAACTGCTGCACCTGCATGTGTTTATGATTTTATTGTCATAGTGAGAAAAATAGGAAAATAGAGTGAAAAGCTTTTCCGCTGTCGCTACGATCTGGCACCATTTTGAGTAGTTTTAAGAATTAAAAAAGGATATAGTTTAAAGAGAATCCATTAGTCCTGAGCAAGCTCGTCATCAATGACGCCTGTGCCGCTATCTGTGCCAGACCCAACCAGTGTTGAAGTGGCCACTTTTCAGGTGCTGTCTTTCGCCACGGGGGCGATTCTGCTCTATCACTGCCTCCTCACTGTCCCACTGCATGCACCAGACCAGCCAACATCAGAGTCGCATCTCTCACCACTGGATCGATTTCCACAATGTTGCTGTGATGCCCTTGTGCCACTGCCAGCCCTGGACCCAACCAGTGACAAAGTTGCCGATCCTCAGGTGCCATTTTTCACTGCTGACATCGCCTGTGCCAACGTAGCAGCTGCTGATTTCGATGTCTAGTCCTGTGCTAGCCCCAGAAAAGTAAATGGGGGCTGACTTGACACCATCATGAAGTCTGTACTGGGCTCCCTCAACACTGCCATGAGATCCACACTGGGCTCACTTGACATGTTGCCAGGGTTGGACAGTTTGAGCTATAGGGAGAGGCTGAATAGGCTGGGGCTATTTTCTCTGGAGAACGTCAGAGGCTGAGAGGTGATCTTACAGAGGTTTATAAAATCTTGAGGGGCATGGATAGAGTAAATAGCCAAGGACTTTTCCCCAGGGTACGGGAGCCCAAAACAAGAGGGCATAGGTAGAAGGTGAGAGGGGAAAGATTTAAAAGGGACCTAAGGGCAACTTTTTTTACACAGAGTGGTGCGTGTATGGAATGAGCTGCCAGGGGAATCGGTGGAGGCTGGTACAATTATAACATTTAAAAAGCATCTGGATGGGTATATGAATAGGAAGGGTTTAGAGAGATATGAGCCAAATGCTAGCAAATGGGACTAGATTTATATAGGATATCTGGTCGGCATGGACAAGTTGGACCAAAAGGTCTGTTTCTGTGCTGTATAGCTCTATAACACCATCACAGGGTCCGCGCTGGGCTCAGTCAAGTCTGTGGTGGGATTCCTCGACTTCGCCGATGCTAGATAAAGGGAAGTAAGGAGGGGGAAAAAACAAGAGAAAAGAAATACAAGTGCTCGGAACGAGTGCGGTCCAGAACATGAGCCCTACTCCACTGCCATCTAATGTCATTAGATTGGTAATCCAGAGCTCCAGGCTAGTTTTCTGAACACATGGGTTTAAATCCCATTATAGCAGATAGTGAACTTTGAATTCAATAAAATCTGGAACTTTAAAAAAAAAGCTGATCTACTGTTAACTATCAACCATTTTGATTGTTATAAGTGCCCATTTCTTGACTGGTGTCCTTTGTGGAAAGGAATCTGCTGTCCTTGCCTGATATGGCCTGTGTGTGTCTCCAGATCCACAGAAATGTGGTTGATTCTTATCTGCCCTTTGAAATGCCCTAGAAAGACATTCCATTCAAGGGCTGTTAGGGATGGGTAACAAATGCTATCCTTGCCAGTGATGCTCACATTCCATCTAAGAATTAAAAAAAAATGACTCACAGCTTTGATGGGATGAGTTTGCTTTAGAGGACCTGTTATCTCTGTGATCTTGGAGCCACCTGAACACCAAAGGGCCTGGCTTCTCCCCTCGAGTTGTACACGAAACATATGTAGTTAAGTGGCTTGGCTTTAAGCCCTTGCTCAATGGACAATGATCGGTAGGAAATTAATGTTTGTCTGTTTGTACTGTCTTGTGTTTGTCTCATCAAATCTTTCCTTTCAGCGTCGTAGTTTAAATCCCTTCAAACCCATTTAGATGCAAGTATCTGATTGGCTTAAATCTATCGGTGTATTGCAGGTTTAAGAAAAGTCATGCTGAGAGCCCACCGCCAAGCATGGTGTTGGCAGGATGAATGGTACGGCCTGACCATGGAGGATATCCGGCGACTGGAGCGCGAAACACAACTCATGCTGGCCCAGAAAATGGCCCAGTTCATGGCACAGTTTAATTTAAACAACAGTGAGGCCGAGCAAACTGGTCCAACTCAATCTTCCAATGAAAGAGATCATGACGTCAACAATTCTATCATCAATCCAGAGCCTGACAGTGCCAACATGAAGGACTACAGTGACTCGTTAACGGAAAGATCACTAACAAAACAGTGGTCTACATCATCCAAATCATCACGTTCTTCAAAAAGAGGAGGTAGGATCTGGGAACTCATGCTTACGGTTTTCTCAAGATTTCCTTTTCATTAAAAATTCGCTTTCTCCCTGCTTTCTGTCGTTTCATCATACGTGCAAGATAATTATGGCGAATATTTATTTTTGAATCCAATATTGTTTAACACATTGTAGTTTACGGAAGCTTGCTGTGCACAAGTTGACTATCCTGTTTCGTACGTTACAATAGTGACTACATTTCTTATCACAAGGACTTCATTGACTATTCCAGACGGTCATGAATGGTTTTCTACAAACACAAGTCTGTCTGTCTTTTTTTCTTTGTCATCTTGTTTTTACTTTATAACGTTTCTCCAATGATATCCCATCTACTTCCATCTTAAAAGCATTGACTATTTACTGGGCTGGTGACTCCACAGCTGTCAGTTATCAGTGCCCCTGGAGCACTTCAGCGAAATGGCATTCTTCATGTGTGAGTTGATAGAATGTTTAACCCACATGGGGTATCACAGCCAAATCTCTCCTACTTCTGCAAAACATCCACACACATGACTCCAACAGAAAATACTGGATAGCTGCACAGAATGAGAATTTGACCTTTTCTGTTCATTGCCCAAGTACCTCACTTTTTCTGTACACTTTTATTTGGATAAACTTGTATCTACCTGTCAAAATGAGTTTTAATATTTATTTAATAGTGTAATTTCAAGCTGGAAATATGAATAGAATATTGAACAGCTAAAGATTACATAATGCAGCTCGCTCAATCCCTCAGCTGGCTCTGTCATCCAGTCCCAAGTGGTATATCTCATTTTAATTTGGGGATGAGTTCAGTGCCCTTTGATTACAAGCTAATTTATATTGATTCAGCTCCAGGAGCCAAATTTCAATCAATAAATTAGTTTCCCAATAATGACATTTATTTTCTTCTCACTTCATATCTGATATTGTGCAAATACATTCATTTGCTAAACAAATATTCCACAGCAGTGGGTTTCCCATTGGTCTTTCGAACTGAATTTCTGATATATTTCACCACTCCATCAGATGAGCTTACCAGTTGGCGTCTTTCAGCACATGCATACTTCTGTGGAGCTGAACTCCTGTTGTAGTGCCAGCTGGACAGAAAAGCTGTATTTGCTGAGGCATGTGACACTAGATTATTGTGTTGAGTCCAGTGGTGTAACTGAAAGAGCCAAAGTTTGGCCTAGAGGAGAGGGCATTACAACCATTGTCCATGCATCAAAATAGTCTCTGCCCTTTCATCAGCAAGAAGTATAAAATCCAGAATGTTGGAATTTTTGTAAATGCTTTTTTTCATCTTTTCATTTGTTTTGCAATTGTGAGTTTTTTTTTTAAGAAAATCCAATTAACATTCTCAAATACTAATGATGCTGAAACTTCATTTTTACAAGTTTGTCTGAAATTCAGTGCTATTATTTTCAATCCATTAGTAACAGTGCTCCATTTTCCTTGTATTTCTCCTAAGTAATGTTTGTTTGAAAGGAGTAGAAATGGAGCATTCCTGAATGTCCATTCATAGAATTCCTACAGTGCTGGAAGAGGCCATTCAGCCCATTGAGTCTACATCGACCTTCCAAAGAGCATGGAAAGAATGAGTTATTTTTTCTAGGCAAATGACATTGGGGTAGATGAAAAGCAATGAGCAATTCTGCTGACATCTTATGGACTCACAGCCTTTTTCGGTTTTTAAGAGCCTGACTTTCCCAGAGGCACCAGATACTAAAACCTTTCAAGGGTTGACTGATTTAGTTAAGGCATATTACACCCCAAGCCTCGTCTAATTCTGAGACACTATCAGCAATTCGAAAACCAGGGAATCTATGTCGGGATTTTTGATGAGGTTAAGATGACTGGTAGAGGCATGTGACTTTGGTTTAACCTTTAATCAGATGCTGAGAGACCACTTGGACTGTGGGATTAATGATGTAACCATGCAAAACCACCTTCTAGCTGAAGTCCAACTGGACTTCAAACAGGCACTATAGCTGGCTTTGTCATTGGAAAATGCAGCAAGGGCAGCATATGAGTTGCAGAATATTCCGATGGAAGTGGGCACCCTCACCAGTCTGACTGAGCTTTGGGTAACACCACTTGGGTGAAATTGCATGTCGTCACTTAGGACATATCCTGAACAGTGAAATTCTAGGTCAGACCACAGCAAAACCCCAAAATAAAGCCAAGCCTCGGCCAAACGATTAACATTTTTTTCAGTATTCAGGCCAGAAAGCCATTGTAGTTGCTGCCAGTGTGGGGACTCGAGACAGCAAATGGGTCCCACTGGACCTAAATTGAGTAAGAGAACTCCTAGGCCAGTATCAAGGAGAGTACACAGCCTGCAAAGTCCACCTGCATCTGGAACGATTAAATTGTTTAGTACCATCCAAATCAGAACCAGTCAATATAAACATTTGGTTAAATGCTTACCCCGTTCTAATGGCAGTCAGTACCGGTGTGGCCATTTTACTGATTGTAGAACCGGTCATTAACAATATTCACTCTAGACTCCAACCCTTGAGTTAGTGCAAGACCTTGGCTAGACTGAGAACTTATACCAGGGAACCTTTACAGATTAAGGGTATAACTTTGGTTTTGGACTTGTATGAGAAACAGCAGGCTCAGTTATCACTGATTGTAGTAAAAGGTCCGATAGGGCTAAATTGGTTGATTCACCTTGACTGGCTGAACATTTTTCATTTTAAAAAATGACTGCCTGAGTGAAGTCCTAATTAAATACTGGAAAGTTTTTCAGGAAAATCTAGGGATATCAAAGGAGCCAAGGCCACCTTGCATGTTGACCAGGCAGCAAGTCCATGTTTCTGCAAGACCTGCCCAGTGCCATCTGCCTTATGGGCAAAAGTAAAAGCAGAAATCAGGAGGCTGGAAAGTGATGGAATCATCAAACTGGTCCAGCTCGCAGAATGAGAGCACTGGCCATATCAATTGTGAAGCCTGACTGTTGGTTCGCCTTTGTGGGGATTTTAAACAAATGGTAAACCACTTTTTCACAGCTGGATAAATACTCAATCCCTCACAGAGAGGATTTATATGCAAAACTGGCCAGGGTGCTGTCCTTCACGAAGCTGAACGTGAGTCATGCTTACTTACAACTGCAGTTAGATGAGGATCCCCAGAAGTATGCCACAATTAATGCCCATAAGGCTTTGTATCAATATAGGAGACTGCCATTTGGGGTATCGTCAGCCTGTGCAACTTTTCAGTGGACAATGGAGAACATTTTACAAGGTCTGCCTCAGGTTGCCACTTTTCTAGATGATGTGCTAATAACAGGGAAGACCAATAAGGAGCACTTAGAGAACTTGGACATAGTCTTTAGACATTTCTCCCAGGTGGATGTATGCCCTATAAGGGAAAAATGCATATTCCAAGCACCTCAAGTGACCTACTTGGGTTACAGAGTTGATAAGACCGAGTTACACCCATTGAACAATAAAGTGAGGGCGATGAAAGGTGCCCTGGTTCCCAGAGCTTAGGTCTTTCCTTGGGTTGGTGAATTATCACAGAAGGCTCATTGATAACCTGGCATCCATCCTGGCAGCTTTGCAGCAACTTTTAATAAAGGGTCAGCTTTGGAAATGGTGGTGTAGCCAAGCCATAGCTTTCAGGGAAGTGACGAAACAGCTATCATCCTGTAAGGCACGCTATGATCCCAGGCGAGATCTGGTATTCACATTCATTGCCTCCCTGTACAGCATCGGGTTAGTGTTAGCTCATAGCTGGCCCAATGGAGAGGAACGCCCAATAGCGTATGCATCCAGGACTTAGGCTAATGCAGAATGTAAATACGCCCAGATAGAGAAGGTAGGTTTGGTGTTCATATTTGCAGTCAGGAAGTTCCACCAATACCTTTACAGATATAAATTTGTAATAATAACAGACCACAAATGCCTTCTAGCTCCACTTGAAGAGCTACCCATAGCTTCAGGCCAAATTCAGTGGTGGGCTCTAATACTAAGTGTGAATAATTACAATTTGGGACACCATCCAGGATGCCAAGTAGCAAATGCGGGTGCATTGAGCTGCCTCCCACTGACAGATGCACTGCCAGTGGTGCTGCCACTGGAAGAGTCTGTAATCTTCTGGACACACTTCCAGTCATAGCTGACAATATCATACTTTGACAGGACCGGATTTTTCTGCATTCAAAACTGAAGCACCTCATGGTGATGGGGAAAACCAAAGGGTCGTCACAACCAAAATTGAAACTTTTTTGGACTCGGAGAGACCAGATCACGGTAGAAGATGGTATATTATTATGGGGAGGAAGAGTGATTATCCCAAGCAAAAGTCGCTGCCAGTTACTGGCTAAACTCCACCAGGGTCATCCAGGGATTTCAAAATGAAGATATTGGCAAGAAGTTATGTCTGGTGGCCAGAATTGGATGCCAGCATAGCCATGTTGGTGGTGCAGTGCCCAGAGTGCCAAGGACAAAATTTACTATCAGTACCTCCCCGACATTCATTGGATAGGCCAGGTAAATCTTGGACCCAGTTACACGTTGTCTATGCAGGTCCTTTCATAGGCTCAATGTTCTTGGTCATTATGGACGCCCATTCAAAGTGGTTGGACGTGCGTAGAGTTCATTCATCAAATGCAGGATGATAACAGAAAACTGCATGCGTCTCTTGCGATACATGGACTCCCAGAAGTTTTGGCCACAGATAATAGGCCATCGTTTACCAGCAGGGAATTTGAGTATTTCCTGAAGTCAAATAGTATTTGACATATAAGTACAGCTCCATACATTCATCATCCACTGGTCTGGCAGAAAGAGCAGTCCAAACTTTGAAGGCAGGCTTAAAGAAACAGCCTACAGTTTCACTGATACCAAACTGTCCCGGACCCTCTTGTTATCAGACCACCCTGCATACAACTACAGGGACAGCTCCAGCAGAGTTGCTAATGGGGAGAAGATTCCACACCAGGTTAAACCTGATCTTCCTGGATCTGGGAGTGGAGGGTGAAATGGCGTCAGGAAT